TGAGATTGGAATCACAAGATCGTGGAAGAACATCCAATACATCTGCCAGTACTTGATGTTCAGAAATAACACACCTGGGTCTTTGTTTCTTTCTTACTGTAAATATCATAACTTTTTATTTTTTACTTCTTCCCTCTGCAAGGCGTGCAATGGAATTGAGTTTTGCCCTGGTAAATGGGAATAATATACGAGGCATGATGAAGGAATTACTTTATTTTCTGGATTCATGTGAGCCAGAATTTAAAGCAGACTGTGCATCTGGAATCTTTCTTGCTGCAGAAAAGTAAGATTTTTACTTTTATTGGTAAAAGATGCTTGGAACTTTTGGAAAGCACCTTTACAACATGGGGGAAAATGTTGTAAACCTATTTAAAATGTGTAATGTTTATTTCAGGCTCCCAGTTAGAAATTTGCTTCATTAGAAGGCCATTCTAGTCCGTATTTAAGTATGCTTTGGTTTTAAGTAAAACCAAAAACCTCTACTTTTATAAAATCTTTTATATTCTTTAATTTCTCATCTATGAAGAGAGGATAGAAAAGTTTTTGTGTTTTTTTTTGGTAGAGAATAGAAGAACTATACCATCATAGCACCTAAATTGTGGTTTTTTGTAAAACTTTTAGGAAGAAGTACCTCAATTTTAGTAGAATGGTTATTTCTTTTTCCCTTCTGCCCTATGAATTTAAGGGACTGAATTTCTAGTCCTAGTGTTGCCTGGGTTTGGGAACAGTCCTTTTTCTTCTTTCTTCTCTGCCCTCCTGCTTTATCGTTATGATTTGTTTTCTGAAAAAGTGGAGATGGAGTCCCATGTCTCAGCTCAGTAACTCCTCTTGCAGTTATAATGTGAAACTTCTGAGTTTCTGTACCATTTCATTACCCTTTGAAATGAGGTAGCTGCTAGATTTGAAGATAAAATGTGTCCAAAAATAATCACTTTACCAGTCAACCTAAAGAAGATATAGGACAGGATTTTTGAAAGTCACTGAGCATAGAATAATTCCCAGATTTTAATTGTTTCATCTGGTGCAATTATTTTCCCAGGTATGCACCTTCCAAACGGTGGCATATAGACACGATCATGCGTGTTCTGACAACGGTAAGTAGTGTTTTTTTTAGTCCACATATACTATGCACTAGATGTACTGGTTAATGGGTCCTTGTTCTCATGAAACTTACACATTTTACTTCTAGTGAGGGAGTAGGAAATTCATGGGGAAATATGTAGTATCCTGTTAGGCACGAAAAAAAATACTGTGAGAAACACTGAAGCGGCATGAAGGACTACAGCGATGGCGGGAGAGTAAGAATATGGGGCATTGGGCCAAGTTTTTTAGGTGGAGAAGTCAGGGCATGTCACTCAGAAGGAAACGCTTGAGGAGAGATTTCAGTGAAATGAGGAGCCATGCTAAGGTTTGGGGGAACAGCAAGTGTTACAAAGCCCTTAAGTAGCAACAAGTATGGCCTGCTTGGAGAGCTTTAAGAAAATGAATGAAACCAGTAGCACGAGAGGCAGAGAATAGTAGGACTGAAGCAGGGACTAGATTATATAGGTCCTCAGAGGAGTTTGGAAATTGTTTTTTGTTTTTTTAAAAATATATATAAGAAGCCATTGGAGGGTTTTGAATGAATAAATTTATTTTATTCATTCAAATAATGATTTGAATTTATTCAAAATTTAAAATTAAATTTTGGATTTAATTTTATGGATTTAAAATTATGGTTTTATAAGATATTCTTTCTTTGGCAGTTGTCCAGAGTTTTAGAGCTTCCCTGTTTATCATTCAGTTAATAGGAATTACAGATTTAATCAAAATGAAAGAATAGTGGCATTTAAAGAAAACATAACTGCTATGTGTAATTGTTGCCACCAGGAATAGCTACAATAAAGGGAAACTTTCACAGATTTATCACATTAAAAATTGAAACACACATAGCAAAAGGAAAAAAAACCTACAGAGTTAAAAGGGAAAAGACAACTAGGGGAAAAATATTGTAACATATGACAGCATGTTAATATCTTTAATGTATAAATAATTTACAATTAATAGGAAAAATCAAACATTGTAATGGAAAAATTGACATTTCAACAGACATTTCACAAAAGAAGAAATGGCTAACTTTGAAAAATACCCTTATTAATAAAGAAATAGTAAAATTATAAGTGAGGTATCCTTTTTTACTTGTCATACTTTTTAATCTAATTCCTAGTGCTAATTAGGAAATGAAGAAGTAGGCAGTACTCTCCACTTCATAGTGGGTATAAAATGTTGCCACCTTTCTAGAATTATACTCGGGTACGTGGGCCAAAATCAAGAGTCAGACACTTAACCCACTGAGCCACCCATGCGCCCCTAGTTTGTACCTTTCTTTTTGTACCTTTTAACTCATCAATTCTCTTTAGGAATTTATCTTGGAAAAAATTCAAGGACAACAAGTGTACAAAAATGTATATACAAAGATGTTCATCCCAATCTTGTTTTTTAATGGGAGAAAACTGGGAAAAACTACAAGTCTGCAAATGGGCCTTGGTTAAGCAAGTTATAAAACATCTGTAGGAGGGAATGATATCGTTAAAATTGTGTGTGTATGTATGCTTGTTGCTGTGGAATTCTGTCTGTGACATGCTAGTTTTCTAGTTTATTTGAATTAATTTTGTAAAAAAGTTAATAAATGCACTTAATGGGAAAACTATATTTTAACAAAAGCTATGAATCAGGATACAGCTTATTAGTTTTTGTAAGGCTCAAAAGAAGAGAACAATTAGAGCTCCTGAAGAAAAGTGTTGTCAAAATTTAAACCATTCTTTTTTTTAATGCTCCTACTTTTCATTTTTCCAGTTGACTTAGGTAATCTTATTATGGTCCTGTGATTTTTCCTTTTTAACCTATTGATGTGCTGGATCAAAAATTAATTGATTTTTGAATGTTGAGCTAACTAACCTTCCATTCCTGGAATAAATCCCACATGGTTGTGGTGTACAGTTCTTTTTATACATTGTTGTATTTGATTTGCTAATATATTTTTTTAAGGATTTTTGCATCCGTATTCATGAGAGATACTGGTCTATAATTTTCTTTGACCTAAGTGTTGTTTAGTTGTTTAATTTCCGAATATTGGGATCCCTGGGTGGCGCAGCGGTTTGGCGCCTGCCTTTGGCCCAGGACGCGATCCTGGAGACCCGGGATCGAGTCCCACGTCGGGCTCCCGGTGCATGGAGCCTGCTTCTCCCTCCGCCTATGTCTCTGCCTCTCTCTCTCTCTCTGTATGACTATCGTAAATAATTAAAAAAAATTAATTTCCGAATATTTTGGGGTTTCTTAGCTATCTTTGTTCTTGATTTCTAGTTAAGTCCTGTATGACTTTTATTCTTTTATTTATTTTTAAAAAGATTTTACTTATTTATTTGAGAGAGAGAAAGAGAATACAAGCTGGGGGGGGGCAGAGGGAGAAGAGAATACAAGCTGGGGGAGGGAGGAGCAGAGTCCCTGCTGAGTGGGGAGCCCAATCTGCCGCTTAATCGACCTCAACCTCGGGTTCGACCTCGGGTTCGATCGTGACCTCAGCCCAAGGCCGACACTTAGCTAACTAAACCCATCAGGGTGCCCCTCAGCTTTTTTCTTTTAAATTTGAGATGTTTCTGGGATCCCTGGCTGGCTTAGACAGTGAGCATGTGACTCTCTCGATCTCAGGGTCATGAGTTCATGCCCCATGTTGGACTTGGAACCTACTTTAATTAAATAAATTAAATAAATTTGAGATGGGTTTTTTTTTATGGCCCAGAATGTGGTCTGTCTTTAGTGAATGTTCCATTGGAGCTTGAGAATAAGGAGTTTTCTGCTATTGGATAAAGTGGTGTATAAATGTCATTTAGATCATATTGATGCTTTCTCTTATTTAAAACACTACTTTTTCCCATTGGGGAAGAATATAAAACAAATTACTTATTTTTTAGCTTCTCTCTGTTTCTTTTTGACCATTTTCCCAAACTTCTTCCTCTTTGTGTTTTTCTAGTAGGTGTGGGCATCCCAGTCACCTGAGGTTTTTTCTTTTTCTTCTCTGTCCCCCCCGCCCCCCATCTCCCCTTTTCCTTTTCTTTTTCCTGGTCTCATTCTTGTAAATCAGACCTGTTCCTCTGTCCAGTAATGGGAGCTTGATCAAGGTGGGCTGATAGGCACAGATTCCACTGTTTGTGCCCTACACAACTTGGTTATCATAATGCTCTGACAAGGCCAAGATTTAGTTTTCTCACAGGTTGAATAACTTTACTTTGTTCCATGGTTGCAAATAGTATCTTAGATTCTACTACTAAAGAGGACATTAAAGAGACTAGGTTTGTTTTTAAAGTGTGGATGATTAAATACAAAATATTTTTTACCTTTCTGGGATGAATGGTTCTGTAATTTTTATAAACTATAGTTCTAAAGGACAGTGCGATGTTTTAAATTGAAGTTTTAAAAAGGTTACAGTTTATTTAATTCTTATTTTAACATGCTGTCCTTTTGGACTGTTGACGTACACTCTCCTCTCCATCCTCCAGAGTAGTTTGGTTTCTGTAGCTAGCCCATATGATTTTAACTGTGTTGAAGAGTTGTGAGTTGGGAGAGGTTGTTGTAATTAAGTTCCCAGTTACTGCATTTCTTACATTTTTGAAATCTTAAACCTAATAATCTATTTTGAAATAGAAAAGTTCTTAAAATTTTAATCCTTTGTTTTTTTTTTCTTTTACAAAGGAGATTTTTTTTTTACTTTTTTTAAAATTTGAAAACTTAGAATACTCATTTAAATAAGGAAGTCATCTGAATAAGACTTTGAAGTTTGAGCTGCATATGAACCTGAGAATCGGAACCCGTTTTATCTTTGAGGATATTTCGTAGTAGTCTTCTTTGAATAAAAGCAATAGCTAACATTTCTTATCATCGTAGTGTGTTTTAAGGATAACTGCATTTCTTTTTAGGCAGGAAGCTACGTTCGTGATGATGCAGTCCCCAACTTGATCCAGTTAATAACCAATAGTGTGGAGATGCATGCCTATACTGTCCAGCGCTTGTACAAAGCAATTCTTGGTGATTATTCTCAAGTAGGTACTTTTTACTTTGGTAGGGAAATTACCCATTACGTTCCTGGTGTGTTCTTGTTACTAACACTCTAGATGTGCCTTGATTTTGACCTTTATGATTAGTTGACCTGGGATTTGCATTAATATTTGCAAGGATTGAAAGCCTTTGACAAATGGTGTCTTTGTTTTGACAGCAACCTTTGGTACAAGTGGCTGCATGGTGTATAGGTGAATATGGAGATCTTCTTGTATCAGGCCAGTGTGAAGAGGAAGAACCTATTCAGGTACCCTTTGCTACTCTCTCAGGAGGGGAGAAACTAGTGTTTTTGGTTATAGGAGGATAATGTTTAATGAGTTGAGGTCGATTCCGTGGAAACCTGTTAAAGAAGTTAATGCCAGAATTCTATTGGGAAACTTGGCAGTTTTTGTGACAGAACTTACTATCCTTACTGTGTCGGGATAGAACCTACTCTTTACCCTATGAGACTGAATTATATTGTTTCTCCTATGCTGTGGCTTGATAAGAAATAAGACCTATCCATATCAGCATTTGCTTACTAAAAGACTGGGTTTTAGGAGATGTGGTAGCAACAACACTTGTACTCTATTTATCTTTTTATTTTCTTCTTTACTTCTGCCTCTTGCAATTAATATAATTTGGCTCTCAGCCTCCAGTGGGTATTTTCCACTCTTTTTTTTTTTTTTTTTTTTTTTAAATCTCCTACCTGCTTCTGATTGATGGATCAGCTTGGACAGTTACTGTGGCAAAGCACAGATAGTTGTTAGAGTTTTAGTAACGATGGTAGGGTTGTCTTTCTGGTGGCATCCTGTGACTTTAGATAGTGACTTTTTTTTTCTCCCCAGGTAACAGAAGATGAAGTGTTGGATATTTTAGAGAGTGTTCTAATCTCTAATATGTCCACCTCTGTGACCCGAGGTTATGCTCTCACTGCCATTATGAAGCTTTCTACCCGATTCACCTGTACTGTAAAGTGAGTATGGAGAAAAAGTAGGATGAACATGTTATTTTGTAATTTTTAAAAACTCTTTATTATAGAAAATTTACTTTATTTATTTATTTATTTATTTATTTATTTATTTATTTATTTATTAATTATAGTCACACACAGAGAGAGAGAGAGGCAGAGACACAGGCAGAGGGAGAAGCAGGCTCCATGCACCGGGAGCCCGATGTGGGATTCGATCCCGGGTCTCCAGGATCGCACCCTGGGCCAAAGGCAGGCGCCAAACCGCTGCGCCACCCAGGGATCCCCTATTATAGAAAATTTAAAGGAAAGGCAAAATAGGGTAATAAAATGAATCATATATAACTCTTATTCTACAGTAATAATCATTAATTTATGGTTCATCCTTATTTTATCTATACTTTACTCCCTTGTTTCCCACATCCCACCATTTGTTATTTTAAAGGTAAAAAGTTATGTTTTTTTTTTGTTTTTGTTTTTGTTTTTAAAATCAGATATCTGGGCAGCCCGGGTGGCTCAGCGGTTTAGTGCCGCCTTCAGCCCAGGGCGTGATCCTGGAGACCTGGGATCAAGTCCCATGTCAGGCTGCCTGCCTGGAGCCTGCTTCTCCCTCTGCCTGTATCTCTGCCTCTCTCTTTCTGTGTCTCTCATGAATAAATAAATAAAATCTTACAAAAAATAAAATCAGATATCTAATGCCTTTTCTCTTTTTTAAAGTAGAGTAGTTACTTCCCTCTATAAGGGTTCTGGTTTATTATAATATTTTGAGGTATCTGAAGAGGAAGAAAATCACAAAGGTTTGGGTGGTTTGTTAAATGTTTAAATTCTGCTCTTCACTATTTGGAATGAAAGTCAATTGGATTAGTTTCTCAGCCAGACATTTAAAGCAAACTTAGTTCTCTTAGACTTTCTGTAGATGCTGAGAAAACTAACCCTTTAAATGGTGAACTAGAAGAATTTGTTGTCAGGTAATAACCTTTTGTTGATAAAAGCTTATTGTAAGGTTGTTAAAGAAGAGAATAAACATTAATATACTTGTTTTGTAACAAATTAATAATTGATACTTTTTTCTAGCAAATTTTAGGTATGGGACATCTAACAGAACAAGTACTAGTGGTAGATGATGGTGTTCAGGTGTATGTTGGATGTAAGAAGATAAAAGAAAAGTGTAGGGATTATAGGGGAAAGGAGAGAAAATGAGTGGGAAAAATCAGAGAGGGAGACAAAACAGGAGAGACTCCTAACTCTGGGAAATGAACATGGGGTAGTGGAAGGGGTGGTGGAGGGAGGATGGGGTGATTGGGTGGGGGCAATTGACGGCGGGGGGGGGGGGGAGGCAATTGAGGGATGAGCACATGAGCACTGAGTGTTGTATGTTCGCAAATCGAACTCCAATAGAAAAATATACATTAAAAAAAGGTGTTTTGGCTTTGAAAAGATATGTAAATTAAGGAAAGAGGAGTATTTCGGATTTTTAACCAGAAAACTCTGGTTTGTTTGTTCTCTCTGCTTGTTTACGAACTTTCTTTTGGGTATTTGAATTTTTTTGTCATTTTATCCCAAAGCCGAATTAAGAAAGTGGTTTCCATCTATGGGAGCAGCATTGATGTGGAACTCCAACAGAGGGCAGTAGAATATAATGCACTTTTTAAGAAATATGACCATATGAGGTAAGTGGAAGAAACTAATCAATGCATATGGCTGTTAGCATGTGAACAGATTGTCTTGATAATCCACAAAGGAGACTCCTTCCTCATGCTTTATTACTGGACTTCACAACTCTGTTTAATCCTAATTGCTTGTCTGCTTTTATTTGTCCATCTTCTCTTCTGTCTACCTTGTAAATTATCTGTGTCCTTTCATTCACCTTTTCCCCTTTCTTTTGGTGTGAAATATTTGCTTCATTTTCCATGTTATTTGGTTAAGAAGTGGGAGTTGTGTTTTTTCAAGAGAATCTCATCCTAATATTTAACTTTGTGATGCATGGTCTTTTTTCCACTTCTGTTATGCAGTGTCTTCTTGATTGGAAATGGCTAATACCTACTTATTTACCTTTCTTTCATTCCAATTTCTGTACCTCTGAGAAATCCCCGTCTCTCGGGATTTAGGTGGACAGTTTGTCTATTCAGGGTTTCTTGCCTGCCCTTAATCCAGTCAGGAATTTAGGTCATGTATTCTTGTAATCCACCTTCTATTCTAGTGTGTGTTTTAGAGGGTGGGGAGCAGAGATAACTGTCCATGTCTGACTCTAATATAGTAACACTGATTGTCTTGGGTAGGGAATCTAGGTTAACTGCCTAGAATTTAACCACTTCAGATTCTTCCAGGTCTGCCCTGCTTGAGAGAATGCCTGTCATGGAAAAAGTGACCACAAATGGCCCTACTGAGATTGTGCAGACAAATGGAGAGACAGAACCTGCTCCACTAGAGACCAAACCACCACCTTCTGGGCCACAGCCCACCAGCCAGGTAGCTTTTCACTTGCTTATCTGGGAATCTTCATGATCTTACAGTTCCTTATAACCTGTATCTCAGCTGATTGCCTTCAATGTTCCTGGATTGATTGAGGATTCTCTTCCTTATTTTTAAGTGTTGAAAGAGCTTTGCCTTAGATGCAGATTAGATAAATGACTAATGAATTGAGATATTATTCCTTGTTTAGGCCAATGATTTATTGGATTTGTTGGGAGGAAATGACATAACACCTGTTATTCCAACTGCACCTACAAGCAAACCAGCTTCTGCTGGTGGAGAACTTCTTGATTTGCTGGGAGACATCAACCTTACAGGTGAGACCAAACTGGAGTTATTTAATGCTTGGCTGGAGATAAAGGCCTTGGGGAAAAACTACAGTGAACATAGACTTCCTGGCACATGAATCAGTTAAAGAGGGGGGAGGCTGAGTCAGAAGTGGGAAGAGAATCTTCACAATATCTGGATTGTAAACTGTCATGCTAGTATTCTAGAGATAATTCACAGAGATTCTTTAAAGTCCAGTATTTAATGTTGGGAGGATAAATTGCTCTCATAGTATTTAGGATAGAAAGGACTTTCAGGCTACAAAAGAAATATATCCCAAGTCACTTCTGTTTTGGTTAGTGTCCTAAAACATCAGTTTTTCTACATTTCTTTCTATTCATAATTTGGTTTCAGGAGCCAAGGCCATTTGTGGAGGGAAGAGAGATATTTGGGTATTTTCCTCTCTTCCTCTTAATATGAAGGGAATATGAAGCAATGAAGGGAAAAATTGTCCCTGATGATGATATTCAAATACAACTTTACATTTGGGAATGTTTTTTTCTCATGTTTGTTTATATGTAGTAGACATTAGTTAATTGTTGATGTATTCAGTGACATTATGAACCCCTGAGTCCAAGTGTATCACTGTAGCACATAATTTCTAAAGTGATTTCTTTAAAAAGTATAATGGTGAATTACTACGTATTATGACCTCAAATAGAAAATAGCCATAGGATAAGGATTTTGGATGGTTATCTAGCCTGGCTATCAGAGGTTAAGTGATTTTTTTCTAACAGCTTCCTCCCAGAGCTTATGGTTTATATTTATGTCTTAATAAAATTCAAAATGTTACTTGTTATACACTTTTGAGTCATTCACAAATAGTTTCAATCCCCCAGATGCCACAGCTCTGCTGGATACATGGAAAAGCAAAAACAACTCCTTGGTTAAAACATAGTGTATAGATGATATACTTATTAATATATTAGCATTTCCATGTTAGTTCATAATCTTCACAATTGTAATTTTTTTTAATTCAAAAATTTTTTTAAAGATTTTATTCATTTATTTCAGACAAGAATGTACACAAGCAGTGGGGAGAGGCAGAGGGAAAAGCAAATTCCTTGCAGAGCAGGGATCCCAATGCAATGCAATGTGATGCGGGGCTCCATCCCAGGACGCTGGGATCATGATCCAAGCAGAAGGCAGAGACTTAACTGACTGAGCCACTCAGGCGCCCTGTCAGGAGGTCTTAATGTTTTGTTTTTGTTTTTACTTTATTTTCTTAGTGTTATATGAAGAAGACTAATAAAATGTTAAAGAGCCTGGATTTTCCTTATTCACAGTGTGTTTTAAACACCTTTGCCTGTGCACCTGGGCTGCTCAGTCGGTTAAAGCATCTACCTTCGGCTCAGGTCATGATCCGGGGTCCTGGGATTGAGTCCTGTATTGGGCTCCCTGCTCAGTGAGAAGACTGCTTCTCCCTCTGCCCTTTGCTCATGATCTCTCTTTCAAATAAGTAAATAAAATCTTAAACAAAACAAACTCATTTTATTAGGTTAAACATTTTTGAGTTTTACATTCTTTAAGCCATCATTACAGTCATCTATCCTAATGCAGGGCAGCCCTGGTGGCTCAGCGGTTTAGCACCGCCTGTAGCCCAGGGCCTGATCCTGGAGACCCGGGATCGAGTCCCACATCAGGCTCCCTGCATGGAGCCTGCTTCTCCCTCTGCCTGTGTCTCTGCCTCTCTCTATCTGTGTGTCTCTCATGAATAAATAAATAAAATCTTTAAAAAATATATATATATCTTAATGCAGAGCAATTTAAGTAAGTAGAAATTAGGAAATAAATTTAGTGTGTGCTTTTAGGGGAACTGGAGTAGTGAGTTTTTGTTATTTCCCAAAACTACTTACTGTTCCTTTACAGGAGAAAAGAGCTAAAATCTGAGGGATTTAAGGACTCCTATGCTGCCACCTTGTTTTGAGTAGCCTCTGATTTTCCATAGGAATTCATTTCTAAAATTGTTCTGGAAATGGAAATTGTGGGAAAATTACTAGATTAGAGTTATAAAAGTTAGAACTGTATGAATATTTTTTGTATCCTTTATTGGTATTCTGCTTTACTACACTTGTTATGTTGTTCGCATTTGTTTCGGCTTCTTGAGTTTTGCTTAGCCATGTATATTTTTACCTTCTTTGCTAATTTTTAGTATGTCATTTTTTTTCTTGTGTACTTGGGTTTTTTATTTTATTTTATTTTAGCCTTACTTCACTTTGTTAATCCTTTTAAAACTGGTATATTTTCCAGATAATTTTATAAGTAGTTTGAAATCTATTTAAACCTAAAATGCACTCTTTATTTTACTGTGTCTTCTTATGCCTCTTCTTGGGATCCTGATTTCTCTCAGTTCTTGATCATTTCCTATCACTTAAATGATTCTCAACTTGTTCTTATTTGGAGGGATCAAATAAAGATGGTAATTTGGTGACTTCTTTCCTCCACTTCATACCACCTCTCCCAGGGTATTTAAATGTGTATGTGTGTTAAAATTTTAGTATGCAGTATTTAACATCTATAAAATTTAAATGCTTTGATCTACTTAGCTTATAAAATGAAATCTTATTAAATTATTACTATTATTAAAATATTTTGCCCACAAGGGGTTGGCAGTTGGCACTATGTGGAGATACTTTTGATTGTCACAACTGGGAGGATTGCTGCTTTCATTTAATGGGTACCAGCCAGGGGTGCTGGTAAATATCCTACAAGCACAGGGTAGCCCCCTACAGCAAATAATTAGCGTAAAATTTCATTAGTTTTGAGGTTGAGGAACTTTAGAGGTATAATCCTGTTCAACTCTCCTATTGCAAATTGTTCTCCAGGTTTGTATTACTTTGTATCCTAACAGCAGAGATTAGAAGTCCCCATTGTTCCATATTCTTAACAGTATCTGGTATTTTCAGACATTGAAATTTTAACCATTCTATTAATGTGAAGTAGTATCTTGTTGGTAATATTCACTATCTCTTATAACTGATTCTCTTTTCATTCAGGTTCCCCTCTTCTGTGAATTGCTTGTTTCTGTCTCTTACAACTTTTATTATTATCTTTTTCTCTTATCATCTTTTTTTCTTAGTGACTTATAGAAAATATTTATAGGTCTGGATACTCATCTGTTTGCTATTTTGTGGCAAACATTTTCTCCTGCCTGTAGTCTATCTTATTATAGTATTTTTTAATGAATAAAAGTTATTCATTTTAAAGTATTTGAATATTTAGTTCTTTCCCTTTGTGGTTTATGCTTTTTTTAAAAAGAGGAGTAGTTATTTATGTATTCATTTATTCATTTAGAGAGCATTAGGAGGAAGAGGGGCGGAGGGCGCGAGGGGGAGAGAGAATTTTTTTGGGGGGGAGGGGGGAGAGAATCTTAAGCAGGCTCTGTGCACTTAGCATGGAACCTGATGTGGGGGGTTGGTCTCATGACCTTGAGCTAAGCGGAAACCAAGAGTTGGACATTTAACCTACTGAGCCACCCAGATGCCTCTAGTTTATGCTTTTTGCATCTTGTTTAAGGAGTCCTTCTCTTAACCTGAGATGAAATAATTATCTCCTGTATTTTTTGTGTGTGTGTGTGAGCTATGTCATGCTGGCTATTTGATTTACCATTGGAATGTTTCATTTAGGTGCTCCAGCTGCTGCTCCTGCCCCTGCCTCAGTTCCACAGATATCCCAGCCCCCCTTCTTGTTGGATGGGCTTTCATCACAGCCTCTCTTCAATGACATCACTACAGGTATGATTACCATCAGTGAGAGGTGTAATTCTGTAAGCATTAAGCTGACTGCAATTAGACTGATCTTTCTGTACTTTCCAGGCATCCCCTCCATCACAGCATACAGTAAGAATGGCTTGAAGATAGAATTCACCTTTGAACGGTCAAATACCAATCCTAGCGTCACAGTGATAACGATACAGGCCTCCAACAGCACAGAGCTGGACATGACAGACTTTGTTTTCCAGGCTGCAGTACCAAAGGTACTACAGTGTCTTCTTTGCCTGTTTCCTTTGATTAAAGATGGGTTGATTTTTTTCTTTCATGCACTTGGCAAGGGATACATTTTAATGTTTAGAGGTTAAAGTGATTTTGCAGATTTAACCCAAATTAGCAATAATGTAACTATTATGGTTCATTGAAGCATGTTATTTTTAATGAAAGCTTTTTACTTCGTCAGAAATATTCTTATAGTTAGCACTATAGGGTAAAGAAAGTATATTCTAGTAGTAGCTATAGTGAGACAGCAGAATTCTGCAAGGTGGTCTGCTAATGCTCAGGCCATTGAGGATGGGTTGGGGTTCAGTAATACAGTGATAAAAACCTAAAAAACACAAAATCTAACATGGAATCAAAAGTCATTAAGATGAAGACTTTATCTATTTGGTATTCTCTTTAGTCACTAGATCAGAATTAAAAGTTTTTATTTCTTGATATTTATTTAAGTGAAAGAAACATTCCTTCTTCATTAGTATCTAGTTTAGTATTGATATAATGATTGCTTGTTTTTATAAATTGAAGCTTTGTTTATATATGAAACCTTAGTTTAAGGAATATTTATGGTCTGTCTTAGAATAATGAAAAGTTTTGTGTAAAGAAATACTGAGAATGAAGAGTGGGCAAAGTTTTTCTGTAAAAGACAAGATAGTAAGTATTTTAGGTTATATGGTTTCTCTTACATCTACTCATATCTCCTGGTATAGTGGGGGGGGGAGGGGAAGCGATAGTTAATATGTAAATGAAGGAATGTGGCTCTGTTCCAAAAAACCATTTATAAAAACAGATGTTGGGTCATTCTTGGCCCATGGGCCATAGTTTGCCGGCCCTTGGTTTAGACTAAGCTAATCTAATTTTTGCAGTACCATGTGAGATATGATATTCAAACAACACACTTTCAGGAATTGAAGACCTTTTATTTGTGGTTACTGCTGACTTTGCAGCCTCCTTTACTTGCATTTTTTTAGGAGCCAGAGTCATGTAGATGTTTCAGAATCACTAGAATGGGGTGGTTTCAATATTAGTTGAATGACATTAGGCAAGTTACTTAACCTCTATGTCTCAGTTTCTTCATTTACAAAGGGAGGATGGTGATAGTGATACCTACTTCCTAGAGTTCCTTTGAAGAATAGATGCATTCTATGTACTGTATACTGTTTTAAGCACTTTTCATATGTTCATTGCTCAGCAAATGTTAACTGCTGCAACTTTGGGTTTTACATTTGTTGCTCTAGTCTATACTCTAGCAACATAGCATCTCTGCCATTAAAGCATGGCCTTAGTTTTGGTGCTATACTGTACAATATTTATTTGCATGTCATGTATCTTGAACTTCAAAATATCATATTTCATAGATTCTACTATTACTTTTTATTGTCTCTGAAATTGAGATGCATTTTAAAATTGATGATTTGTCATAGTTTACTTGGTAGCCTGTTTTCTTTCTCAGTGGTGCATAAAATGATGGTGGGAACCACCAACTAATGACATCGTACATTTGGTTAAATAAATGTAAATATTAATAGTTCAGCTTATATAATATATCTTCACAATAGAATTATGATAAGACCCAACATAATAAGTCTGTGAGTTGATATTAAGTCTCTTTACTCTTACAATTTTGGTCCTAAGAGAAGGCTGGATAGACTTTCCTCCTCTTGTCTTCCACCAACCCTGCTCCCTGCCCATCTTTCTGTCTCTCTCCCCCTCCCCCCCTTTCTCCTTTACTCTTTCTTCTTCCTTCTGCTTCTCTTCCCCTCTCTCTTTTCTCTTCTCACTCTCAATTATTTTAGAAGACTACCCTTTCAGGAGAGATTTTTTAAAATCATAGTATGGGGGTGCCTGGGTGTCTCAGTTGGTTAAGTGTCTGATTCTTGATCTCAGCTCAGGTCTTGATCTCAAGGTCATGAGTTCAAGCCCCATACTGGGCTCCGTGCTGGACATGGAGCCTACTTTAAAAAAAAAAAAAAAAAAAAGTAAAATCCTAGTATGTAGAATAGCTACATACGTACTACATTGTGCCAACAGTTATGGTTTGCCTATCTTGCTGATAGCACTTTTATTTCTCTTCTTTGTAAACAAACAAATGAAACCCACTGACACTACACATTATGGCAATTGGCTTTTCCAGGTTTTTTGCTGTATAGCCTAGCTTTGCATGAAATTGTTCACTTAAGACCTGTGACGCCGATGGAGAGATCTTGATGTATTCCACATACATATTAACAGCTTGGCTCTTTGCAGCCTTTCCTTACCTCTGTCATGTAGCCATTGACACATTCCAGATTATGTTGACATGAGAAAACAAAACTTTAAGTCTCCCTATCCCAACCATCCAGATATATACAAGCATAAAGGCCTGTAGTTGGTTATTGGTATGCTGGGTGGTTATTTCTAGAAAGCACTTTCTGTTTTTCATTTCTTTCTGGCTTTTTTTTAGCCACATGCACCCATTTTTTTTACCTGCATAGTTGATCAGTTACTATTAAGTGATGTTGCCAGAACAAGAATTGGTCACCTTTTGAAAAATGGTAGGCTAAAGTTCCTTTTGCCTGAAAGACAGTGAGTGGCTCATTGTTAGTTTTTCATGATCAAAGACCCCTCTAACAGTGGGGTTTTTAAAATAAGATGAAGATTATAGTCACATGCTATGAATTGTTGATATCTGGAAAACAAAGAGAACGTAGTAGTAGGTCAATCTGTTACTTGACTTTTATATTTGTTGACATCTCTGACATAGTGTTGAGTGTATTATTTTCTCTGAAGCATGCCCTTTGTTCCCCACAGACATTCCAGCTGCAGCTTCTGTCTCCTAGCAGCAGCATTGTCCCAGCATTTAATACGGGGACCATCACACAAGTCATTAAAGTCCTGAACCCACAGAAGGTGAGTAGCACATTTGAAGACAGTATCTGAGTGAGGTGTAAACATATTTCCTGAAATAAAATTCTGCTTTGTTTCTCTAGGTTTTTTTCTGACTCATAGTTGTAGAAGAAATATGTGGAAATGTCTAGTCTAACTTCTTTATTCTTTTGTAGATTAGATAATAAATGTAACCTAGACGCTTGAAATTATTTTAGTGGTAGCATTAAAATGGAGCTCTTTTTTTTTTTTTTAAATGGAGCTCTTTTTTTTTTTTTTTGAGAGGGAGGGGGCAAGAGGGGCAGAGAGGAGGCTCCACACCCAGCACAGAGCCCGATGTGGGGCTTGATCTCATGACCTCAGCTGAACTCAAGAGTCTGTCACTCAACTGATTGAGTCACCCATGCACCACTAAAATGCTGCTTTAAGGAATTGTCTATGTAGAGGCTTAAAGGTCTAGTTTTTTGTAGAAGAGGGAAAGCTTAGATATTTTAATCTTTAAAAGAAAAAAAAGATTTATTAATTTATTTTAGAGAGAGTGTGCATGGGGGAGGGGAAGAGGGAGAGAGAATCTCAAGTAGACTCTGTGTTGAGTCCAGAGCCTGACACAGGGCTTGATTTCATGACCCTAAGATCATGACCTGACCAGAAACTAAGAGATACCTAACCAACTACACCACTCAAATGCCCCTTAGACATTTTAGTCTTTACACAAGTTGCAGTCTAGGGTAAAGAGTATCTTTGGTCCCCATATATCCACATTTACTACTATAATTATTATGTGTGCACAGTAAAAATTGAGGCATTTTAAATGCATTAGCCAAATGAAAAGTAGCTTTGGAAACAAATTAAGAGGAGCCTGGGTGGCTCAGTCAGTGAAGTGTCTGTCTTCGGATCAGGTTGTGATCCCTAGATCATGGGATTGAGCCCCATGTTGGGCTCTCTGCTCAGTGGGGAGCCTGGTTCTCCCTCTCTTTCTGCATGTGCTTGTACTCTCTTCCTCTGTAGTAAAATCTTTTAAAAAAGGAATAAACTGAGATGAAGCAGTATTTTCATTATATCTTCTCAAAGAAGTAAATTGACTCCACTTTTAATAGCAATCAACTAGTTTTCAGTTTTTGAAAATGGTTCAGAGAATTTCTTCACTTTGAAAGATTTCTAGCAGTGTCTCATAACCCCAGTATGATTTCTTCCTTTTATAACATTTTGCCTTTCCTCTGCTAGTCACTGTATTTTGAGTATCTGCCTATAGTACAAGCACAGATTCCTTTGATGACCTGATACATAGAGTAAAAATTTCCTTAGTGCATTAATGTTTGAAATCTGCCACATAAAGTTAAAAGGATTTATAATTAGTTCTCTTAAAACAAATTCTGTTACTGTAAGTTAACTCTTTTATGTCTTGGCAACAAAATAAGTTTATGTTCACATGTACTATTGGTTTTACAGACAAAGCAACAGTATTTCTGAGTGTAGAGCATAAGATGAATATGTTTACCTCATTTTTCTGAAAACTTGGATACAATCGTTGAATCTTTTTGAGAAGCACTTAGCCAGCATTACTCTGAAAATGCTCCTGAGTGGTTCTGTCCTGTTATGCAGTTTTAGGATTGAAGCTGACAATGTGTTCTGTAAATATATTTTCTCTACTTGACTGCATGGAGTTGGCCAGAGTACTAGGCAGCAGTGGTGGTGGTTATGGTTTTTTGCCTGTATGTCATTTTTAAGAGACAGCTTTGCCCTAAAATAATTTCTCTGAGATTAAAAGTCTATTTGTGGACCACACAGATTCTAGAGATTTCCTTTCAGTGCATAATTTGTGATTCTCTGTTCTTCTATAGCAACAGCTGCGAATGCGGATCAAGCTCACATATAACCACAAGGGCTCAGCAATGCAAGATCTAGCAGAGGTGAACAACTTTCCCCCTCAGTCCTGGCAATGAGGGCTGGCACCATTCTCATTCTTGTCCCACTCAATCAAAGGAACTCTGGGAAGGAGGTTGTGATCGCTGGCAAGTCCCCCCCAACTGTACCATGGGCATGAGGAGCTGAAGAGAACTGTTGAGGATTTTCCTGAAGTTATTGCTGACCTTAAAGCATTGTCAAAGACGAATCTCCTCTCCTCCACTGTTGAGGCCGGCTGCTTCTGGAGGCTACTTTGCACTCTTCCTCCTCTTCTCCTTTGTCCGCACTTCTCCACCCCTCCCACATTTACAGCCAGAATCAACATTCCCTGGGCCCCTGAGGAAATAAGCAGCTGGTCTGGAGGAGAGGACTGGAATCCATGGCAAGAAAACACTCACTCTGTCTCTGCAGCAAAGAGTTATCCCTTCTTTCTACTGTGTTGTTCTGTGGACTGGGCGAGGTGGGGTATTCATTCCTCACTATCTGGGTTACCATCTTCAGGCGCTTTTTACATCAGGCATTCAGAATGGAAATGTTAACAATGGACATTAGGGAGCCCTGCCTTTTTCTACTGGTTCCCCCAGTGTTTGAGAGAGGCATTAGGCTCCTGGTAGCCTTTTCTGTGCATTGCTGTATACACACAGACACACACATGTATGTATGTTTGTTACCAAGACCTGGGCAGACCTGGAGAGGTTATTTGTAAACACTGGACAGATGGAGTTAAAAAGAGATTTGGCATGAAGGATATGGTGCTCTATTTGTAATAGAAACTCCCAAGGCTCTTCCAGCTCCCCTTTCTCTCCATACTTTAGCTGTAGTCACGAATACTCTCCATGATTTTCAAAATTGATTCCCCTGAAAGTGCAAAGTGGACAACTTCTAAAAGGTATATTAATAATTATTAATGCCCCTGTTCCCACAACAGATATTAAAGTTTCTCCTAAGCCCATAACTTGCCTGTTGAACTGTGGTAAATGGGTGGAAAGAGGAGTTTGCTTTTTAAGACCAGACTCCTTAACAAAAGCACCTTTGCCCATAGGAAGAGTGAGTATCAGACTCACCCTAGAGCATATTGGAGTCATCTTCTCCATTACTCCAAATCTTCCTTTTTATTTCCTGAGCCTGGCTTGGACCTTGGCATTCCGTTTGAATTCCTTCTTCTAACTGGAACATTTGTGTTGTATCTGTAACACTGGCACTGAAATAAAGACCACGCGGTTAAAGAAATCTTTCCTATATTGTACTTTATGGTGTTGGAATGAAGCCTTGTAGCTTCCTTGCCCCCAGTGTGAGAGGAAGTCCTTAAGGACACCATACGGAAAAAAAAAAAAAAAAAGGGACACCATACAGTAGGCATATCCTTTCCTGAGTCTGAGAAGTTAGTCTCATGAGAGGCCAGTTTCATGAATATCTGCATCAAAGACCTGAGGTCTGGAGTTTTTTAACTAGTGAGAGTGCCAAGTGCTGTTTAGAAAGGACTCGTGTTATTAAACTTTAACACTGAGTTACTAGAATGAGGTAAGGTGACTGGTGGCACATGGTGAATGTACTGTGTATGTTCAGGTACACGGGCACCATGTCTCATGTACTAAAGAAGAAAGGAAAAGTCAGGTCCACCTTGCTCTTAAAATGTTTGCAGTCATTACTGTATTGAGTACAGTATGCTGACTACTTTGGCTTTCGTCTTAAACTTGGATTCAGATACCCCCCCCCTCATTTCACCAAGCCTTTACTTAAAATCAGTGTCTTGTCATATCTAGCTCTGTATCAGATGCTAGGTTATTTCTAACATTTGACAAACTGGGGTTGAGCTAAAAGGCTCCAAAGGGAAACTTTCTGGTCTTATGTGTATAAAAGAGCAAGATTTCCAAAAACTTACTCTACTGGGCAAATGGTTGACTGAGTCAAGAACAGGATATTATCTTGTGCACAGATTTCAGTAAAGGCAAGTGTGGACTAGTGTATGTTTCAGACAACTTGCTCTGCCTGTGCAATGAAGAATAGCCTTTAAAGAATTCTTTGCAGACTGATTTCATTGGATGGATACTTAATGCTGTGAAACATGATAGGATTAACATAATATTGGTGGATTTCTCGAGTAGAATTTATCTAACATTCCTCTGGGTTAGAGGCTTTATTTTCTCTCATGTTAATAGTTGACCAGCTCAAGTTTCTTTAGTTGGACTGAATTGAATATCAGAAATCTGCCGAAGACCATGCATGCTATCAGACAGTGCTAGCTAGTGGAGCTAGAAAGGGTCTATTCTAGTAACAAAGCATCTCCGTGGGTGATTATAATTTTTTTGAGGTGGAGTTCTATGATTATCCATGGCTTTGTCTAGACAGAATACAAATCATGGCCTTAACGCAAAGGGTGCTGCATAGAATATTTGAAGTGATTTTGGAGAGTGAAGCTGAGCACCACACTGAAGAACTAGCAGCCAGAAAGCTGCCTAGGATCCTGACAGTTGTGAAGACTTTTGCAAATGATCGGATCTTTGAAGGCTTCAGCGTGCCTTAGTTTCTAGGATCAGAATTAGTTCTTGTGCTTGGCCTTGCTGCTAAAAGGAGAAATCTCTTAATTTCTATGAATACTTAACACATTTCAGTAATTTCTTTCCCTGGTATGACCATGCAAGGGGGAGCAAATTTGGATAGATTTACAGCATCAGAGCCATTGTAAGGAAAGAGTGATTTCCATGGCTGTTTTAATAACCCTAGGGTGATAAGCAGTGAGCCTCCACATACTTGGACAATTACACATGCACTTTTACCTCATTTTTCCCCCCTTCTTTCAGAGTAGTGTATTCTATCACTCCCAACCCCTGCACCCAAGTAATCCTAAGGGAGAATTCATCTAAGTAATATAAAAAAAATGTAGGAAGGGTGCTCTACCCAAGAAGCTTCTCCCACAGTGCTCTGGTGCTGTTACCTTGAGGTGATTTGGACAGTCAATGGAATGTTTTATGCTGTGTGTAGTGGTCATCGGTTCATTTTAAGGTCTTTATCATTTAAAGAAACATTCCTCAGTGTAACTTTTAGGAGGGAATTCTTTCCTCTTACTGGTTAAAGATGTGGTACATGCCCTTTATTTGTCCCATTCATATAAAAGAGAGTAGACCTTTAAACTGTTCAGGATTAACTGTTTGAGTATTTCCATCTACTGTATAACATGCTTTTCATTTTCAGTTCTCTTAGAAGAGGTTGGAAGTTAGGGGATACTGTTTTTGAGGTTCAACTTTATTACTTTCTGCATTGGAAAATACTTGGGCCATGAGAACTAGGGGGAAGAAAGTGTTTGTGAATATTTTTTCCTAGTGAATGTATTTTATCTACATTGTCCAACACCGAGTGAGAATTAGAGCAAAAAATGGATAGTCACGAATTTGTGGTTGGTAGAGAGGTGGTACAGGACTGTATACTCAAGCGTTTGGGGGTGGGGAGGGTCACTTGAAGAAGGAAAGTCCTGAAGTTTGACCAGCTTTGGCTCAGGAGGGTGGGGCTGCTTGTAGAAGTGGAAGTCAATCACTCTTTTTCAAGCAATAGTAGTGAGTGGGCTCCATCTGCAGGGTTCCAGGACCCAGGACACCTAAACAGAAGAACGTGCTGAAGCAGCTTGCACAGTTGCTTCAGAACTTCCTTGAGGCTGATTCTGGCCTCAGGATGGAGCATTGGAGTTTCTTTGTTTTTTTTTTTTTGGAACCTGCTGTTGCGCTTTGTGTGTTTTGTTTTTTTTTTTCAATTTGGGGGGGGGGGCAGGGCGCATGGGAAGGAGTTTCTGAACTCTTTCCTTTGTGAACTCCCATTGTGTCCCTGTAAAGTCCCTTTTCTTTCATAATTGTTGTAAGTTACATTTTCATTAAGCCCCATCACATCTTCTTTACTGTAAAAATATTAAAAGGCTGTTTCTAAGTGGGACGGCTAATTCTAATTATTGCAGACATATTTTTGAGATGTAAAAAAAATTTAAAATTAAATGATAAGTCTTAGAGGTGAGTGAGGAATAAAATGGATGTAAACATTTACATTGGGATGCATTAGAATTCTGCTGTGTGTATTGTCTTTTGGTTGAAACAAATTATGAACAGTGACTAATAATAAAAAGTCAATACTCAATGATTTAAAATTTGCTTCCTTGCTTCTTACAAGTGCATTAGAGAAGCCTTGAATGAATTCTTATTCCAGAGCTTTGACCTAAACTTACCTGTTAACGTTTTTTACACAGAAATCTCAACCTAGAGAAATTTGAGCAACCTAAAAAATACTTGCAGTTTACAGACAGTCAAAAGTGCAATTGGGAATTTTAAATAATGCTTACTTCTCCACATGGGTAAATTTTCAAACAAGGCAAAGAAATTGTATCAAGGTGAAATGTGTATTTAGGGGTGGCCATGGTTTTTAGTTACAAGTTTCTATTTGTAAATTATGTTTAAGTATATCTGTGACTGGGAAGAAGGTTTTACCAGCCAAAATGAATTCTATTTTATGATCTATTTTATATGAATTCTTCCATAGAAGTAAAAGTGGTTGGATGTAGGTTTTCTATCCATCAGGGGTGATCCCTGCTTTCCCTTGATTGTGAAGGGGGAGAGCATGTGAAAGCCCCCTAAGTGAGGAGAAAAAGAGAAGCCTTGGCGTTTGTTTAGTTTATGCAGGAGTTGCCCTTTGGCACTGTCTGATAACTGACATTTCTGTAATCTTTCCTTGTATGTGGCTTAGTTAAAATTCATCTTTGTTTCTAATATTAAATTTAGTTAACATGTTTATCTGCATATAATTTCATGTAGCAGGAAATATAAAAACTACAATAGAAAAGTTCAACCAGTAATAGACTTCAGTCATTTACTCAGCAAATACAGAGAATAGTGTTCAGATTTGAACTTCAGTCCAGAAGGACCGAATTAATTTGATCACTTTTCAGGGTTTTCCATGCTATTTCCTCTCCTAGTTCAATTGTCCCCATATTTTGAAAATATATTCCTTAAAACCCTGAGGCCAGGTAAATACTACCTGTTTCTTTGGAACTAAAATAAAACATATCTAAATCTGTTTAATCTGTGGTAGAAATAAGAGGTTTAGGCTTAAAGATGACTTTGTGATCATTAAAGGAGTGGGAACTAGCTATAAATAAGTGAATGTGGTAAAACCTTATGGCTCTTCTACCACATTTTGGCAGATGAACTTTTCTTCTCCAGACTTTTTGATTTTATAGTGAGGGTTAGGAAAAGCTCCTGTGATAAAACGTATGTATGTCCTTTCCTCTCCGTGGAGGGAGAGGTATGTGCAGCTGCTTACAGGAACGATACAGAAGAGGAGGCAGTAATGACTTCTCTGTCTCTTGGCTTGATCTAAACAGTAATTTTTGTAACGATGAACCTGCAGTGAGGGCAGATGGATTTTTGCACAGAAATTCCCAGAGGAATTTATTTTTAGGGTTAGTCTCAGCTGTTTACCATTTCCAGAAATTGTAGTTACATAACCCTTGGCATACATAATGCACATTGCCTTGAACTGGGGAAGAACATGAATATGTGACCTTTGAAACAGTATAAAATGTTAATGGCAGTACATGACTTGAAAAAAAGAATCAATTGGTTGATTCCTGAATTGGATCTTAAAACATGGAGACCTTTAAAGAGCTACATCATATGATTTCCCGCAGCATCTGGGCTGGTAGTTTTTTTGTTTTTGTTTTCCTTTTGAAAGAGGTACTACTGTTGTTGATGAAAGAAGAAGTAGCGAATACATAACTTTCAGCATATGCTTGTATTCTGAATTGATGCATTAGCCTTTATTACATTAATGGAGAAAACCAATCTACCACCACTATTCCCCAGCACGAACTCAAAATGCTGGTCCTGGGATAAAATCCTTTTGGTTCAGGTGATCAATCAATAAAAAGCTTCTTATAAGATCAGGAAAATGTAATGTATAAAACCTCAAGAAACAGGCTTTTAGAAACACTAATTCTGGACCACATTTTGGTCTTTCCGCTCTGCCCTTGGTCAAAGTCCACTTCTCTTCCCATATGGGTACCTATAGCTTGCATACCAGTGTTCTTGCTGGAAGAAGTTACCCAGGAATCATTGAAATGGGAATCAACTCCTTTTTTTTTTTTTTAAGATTTTACCCATTTATTCATGATAGACACAGAGTGACAGAGAGAGAGAGAGAGAGAGAGGCAGAGACACAGGCAGAGGGAGAAGCAGGCTCCATGCAGGGACCCCCACGTGGGACTCTATCCTGGGTCTCCAGGATAACGCCCCAGGCTGAAGGCGGCGCTAAACCACAGGGCCACCAGGACTGCCCAGGAATCAACTCCTTTAAGTAGCTTTCTTAAAAGTAGTTTCAAGGTGGAAGACCCAGGAGGTAGTCAACCTAAGAGCTTTTTTCACTTTATATCAGACTCACAGAAGTCATTTTTGATTTTAAAATGAGACTAACGAAGACTACTGGAGATTGGGATTTTTGGTATAGGCAAAGTATCTCATGTGAAGGGAGAAAGTAGTGACCAAACTTATATCGAATCAGAATCTACAGGAGTCAAATTTTGTTTTGGGATTTAAAAGATCTCCAAATGGATACATATCCTATAGTAGAGAGGGGACACAGACTGTACTGTTAGATCTCAAATTCTCTTGTACTAAGCCTATAATTACAATATTTTAAACATACAGTTGGTATGGACTAGGCAAGCTGGAGCAGTGGATAGGTGATAACCATCTTTACCAATTGTTCAAAGATCAGGGAATTACTGATTTTTTGGTGCTTAATATCTTAACATGTTGCTTGAAGATTCATTAACACCTGTGTAAGAGGGAAAGCCCTAAAATCCAGAAGTCTAAAAGGTTTCCAAGGAAAATTTAGAGTAGAATTAAGAGTAGAAGAGTTCCTCCACCTGAGAAACTGAGTAAATCTTGAATTTGGAAGATCAGAATTAGAATGAGGATGGCTCCTATGAATCCCTACTAAGCATTTTGTGTACATTCACAAAATCTTGATAGTAACTGCTAGATACTCATTTCTATTTCACCGCTAAGAAACAAAGGCTCAAATCAAGTAAATTGCACAAGAGTATAGGTGTAATAAGAGGTAGAGCTCAGATCTGGAATCAGGCTGTCTGATTCCAAATTTGGCAGTCTGGCTAGTCACAAAAGTACCATCACTGCAGGAATTAAAATAATTAGCTTTTAAGGATTTTCTGAATTAGCCTTGCAAATAATAAAATGGTCTTGGACCATATTATGGCTTGAGGCAGAGTAAGGAATTCTGGTACTTTTACCGAAAGGAGGAGAAAAGTGAATTAAAATGTGGCTGGGCGGTGAGTTGACATCTTGTACACGAGGTTGGGTCGAATTTGCTAAAGAACATCGTGAGCATCTGTAATAAGGAAGAGAAACGGCCCTGCTAAGGGATATTCTCAACAATCCATTCAGTGGCTTAGCATGTGAGGGTGACAGGCCAGTTTCGAAGCAGAAAGAGGAAACATCAGGGAGAGGTAAGTTACAAGAGCCACCCTGAGCGCCCGGCGGGTCCTGTCACTACAATTGGCGCAGACGCCCCCCTGCCCCTAGTCCGTCCAGCCGGTACCTCGGAGGCGGTGGTAGCAGCAAATAACCCTCTCGGCCGCCTCGGCTTGGAGGGCGGCTGGGGGCGCAGGCCCAGCCTGGTGGAGGCGCCCGGCTCCGCCCGCCGGGGTTGCACCGCCGCCCAGCCGGGCTGCGGCTCGCCGGGCTGAGCCGGGGCAGCGCCGGGCCCGCGGCTACGCTGGTCCCGCGGGGCTGCGGGCGGGGCGGGGCCGCGGAGGCGGGGGGGCGGGGCGGGGCGGGGCCGCGGGGGGGCGGGGCGGGCCCGGGGGCGGGGCGGGGCCGCGGGCTGCTCGCGCGCGCCGCCGAGGTCCCGCGCGCCGTCGCGCCGGCCCGGCGTCCCAGTGCAGCCTCCGCCGCCGATGGGGGAGGTGGAGCCGGGGCCCGCGGGCCCGCTCGAGCCCCCGGAGCCGCCCGAAGCGCCCGCGAGCCGCCGGCCGGGCGGGATTCGGGTCCTGAAGGTGAGGCGGGCGGGCTGGGGAGGACACCGGGGCGGAGAGAGGCCGCCCCCGCCCCGCGCGGTGGCAGGGCGGCCGGCGACCCCCGCGCCGCGTCAGTGTGTCCGCCTCGCCGCCCGCGGCCCCGCAGTCCGGCGGGGGGCGCCGCGGCCCCGGCCCCGGCCCCGGCCCAGGCCTCCGCGCCCGCGCCCGCGCCCGCCCCCGCCGAGGCCGCAGCCGCCTCCGGCCCCCTCGGCTGCCCATCCCTGGCCGCGCGCCACCCGCCTCGCAGGCCCACGCCTCCGGTCCGCCGCCCGCCCGGCCGCCGCCGCCCGCCCGGCTGCTGCGGGACCCGGGGGCCCGCTCGGCCGCCCTCGGCCTCGTCCGGGGCCGGGGGCCGTCGCGCGGGCCCGAGAGCGCGCCGGGAGTACGCAGGGCTTCTCCCCGGACACCTGAAGGCATCACCCCGGCGGGAGGACGGCGGCGGTGATTGGCCGGGCGCCGCCGCGTGCTCGGGGCCGCGCCGGGTGGAGCGGGCCGGCTCTGCCGCGGGGCTCGCCGCCCAAGTTAGGAGCCGGCCGCCGGCTCTGAGGCTCCACCTGCCCGCTGCGGAGGGGATCCCCGCAGCAGCCGGGTCTCGGGGAGGCTCCGGGCGCGCTGCTGCAGAGAGGAGGGGTTCGGCAGGAAGGGCCTTCCTGCGTGCGGGAGCCGGGCGAGGCGGCACCGGGAGCGGTTATGCAACAGGCAGCCGGCGGGGCTTGGGGGCAGGCGCTGGGGGGAGTAGGAGGAAAATGAAAGCAGATGTTGGCAGGGCGGGGAGTGGCGGAGCCTTGAAGGGGATGACAAGAAGTTTCGATGCACAAGAAATGAGGGGTCGGGAGGGCGACAGTAAAGATGGTTTAAAGGAGTTGTAGGGAGACCAACTGGATAGAGTTTTCTGCTGGCCTCTGAACTAGTTGGAGAGGAATTTTTCTGTAGGTCAAGTGTGTAGACAAGATGTCCCGATGATAATAGAGTTCTAGAAGCGGAAATCAGCAGGATTTAAGACTTGGCCCCTGAGATGTAAGAGAGAAAAGAACATTTAGAGGTTTTGATGTCTTTCA